TTATACTACTAACACATATTTTATATATATAGGTAATCATTTAATAAATCAAGTATCATTAAATCAAATACTGTCTATATATTATATAAGTGAACTTTGAATGCCTGAGCAAGTATCTCATAAATATTTGTATCTTTTTTTTTTGTTGTATTCTGTATTTTTTTAATACACTATATGCGTGTAATTATATAATACATAAACGAAATTATATGCAATTAACTATTAAATTAAGAAAATGTCAGAAGTAACTATCGAACCACTCGCTGGACCATATGGTCTTGGTGAAGGCCCTCATTGGGACTGTACTTCGCAAAAATTATATTTCGTTGATATATTTGCCCAGAAAATATTCAGATTTGATCCTGTAACAGGTGGTCTTACTTCAATTTTTGTAGGTAGGTAATTAATTTCTGTAGATAAGTGATTAAATATTTTTCTAATTAATGTCTATAATATTCTTTATAAATATATCTCTTTGTTAGAAAATGGACCAGTTGGATTTGTTATTCCTGTAGAAGGTAGCACTAACAAATTTGTTGCTGCATCTAGTATAGATGTAGTGGTTCTTTCTTGGAACAGTGAAGAAACTCTTGCAAGTTGTAAAGCTCAAATATTGGTTTCTGCAGACTCTAATAGAACAGAGATTAGATTTAATGATGGAAAAGCAGATTCTTCTGGAAGAATATGGGCTGGTTGGCTAAAAATATAAATTATTTTATATGAAAATATATTCACATGATATATAAATTCTTATAATGTAATTTTGTTTTTTTTATTAGGAACAATGGGCCTTGAAAAGAATGGAGTTTTTCCACCTAATGTGGGATCCCTTTATTCTGTGGATAATGATCTTGTATTGAAAAGACAAGTATCTCCTGTATCCATAAGTAATGGATTAGCCTGGAATCCTGATAATAATACACTTTATTACATTGATTCACTCACCTATCAGGTTTGGGCATATAATTACAATTCTAAGACAGGAACTATATGTAAGAAATTTACAATGTCTTTCATATAATATAATATGCATCATGTTAAATAAAATTTTACATTTTTAAATTCCTATTTGTTAGCAAATAAGAAGATTGTGTTTGATCTTCAAAAAAATAATATTCCTGGAATACCAGATGGTATGACAATAGATACAAATGGAAATCTTTGGGTTGCAGTGTATAGTGGAGGCAGTGTAAGTATTATACTATAATGAGTCATAATTATTATGAATATATTATAGAGGAAATAATTGACATTTATTTTCTAAAAACATTTAATATTTAGGTTCTCAACATAAATCCGAAAACGGGCGAGTTGTTGCGCTTAGTTAAATTTAATGATGCCCAGAACATAACTAGTGTTGCCTTTGGTGGTCCTAATTTGGATATTTTATATGTAACATCAGCAAGCTTGGGATTGAATGAAAATCAGTTGAAGGAGCAACCACATGCTGGTTATTTATTTGCCATCAAAGGTTTAGGTGTCCGTGGTTTTCCTCCAAATAATGTTAAACTACCAAATAAATTAACATAGATATATATATATATAAAGTATATATATATATAAAGTATATATATATATATAAAGTATTGTATAAATATATAAAACATTTTTTAAACATTAAATTACTAGCATGTTAAATGACAGAATTTATGAATTAGATATATAAAAGTTGCAAAAAGTTTTGCAAAAAAAAGATAGTTTGAATTTTTTATTTCGTAGAGATAATCAATACTATATGTGTATATATACATGCAGAATGTACAAAGAAATTTGAGAAAAACTTCAAAAACTCGTATAGTACTCGTCAAAATAAGCAAAAAAGCTCAATAAATATGAATTCGAAAATCAGTACTTTTCGTTATAAGTTACGAGTTACGAGATTTTTTTTGCTATAAGCCCATTACGAAATAGCAAAATTTATTCCGTATTTATCGAAAACCTATTGAAAGAAAAAATTATAGTAATATTATGTAAATAAACATATATATATTATTATGTAAATAATATTATTATTAAAACTTTTATACTTATTTCGATGAGTATTACATGAAGATTTCAACTTTTTTGTACATTCTTTCTATATATATGTTATATACAGGATCCATATATAATAATTTTCTTGAAAATAAAAATTATTTTTAAATGAAAAAATTTTATTTTACATTTTTTCTTATTTTTGTACAAGGGAACCTTCTTATTAATTATTCTTTTCTGTCACATTTCTAATTACCTAAATATATATAAATATACATAATAAATTTTTATATATAATAATAAATTTTTATAAATTCTATATTCTCGAAAGACAAAGCTTCGAACTAAAAAATTTTATTCTATATTTTTTCTTATTTTATTATAAAGAATCATAAATCGCAACCGTTTCTATATATTATTTTGCCGGAGTCTGTATATACATATATATAGATATAATTTTTTTTAAATGAAAAACAAATGTTTCACTAACATTTAATTACACTTGTCTACTCCTTCTTTTTACATACAAAGAAAAATGTATTGATTAATGAATGTACATAGTAGAAAAATAATATCGTTTTATTAATATGCAAAGACGCTTCCCTGGAATTATTGTGAAATTATATTCGTCATTGTGTTACTATTTCAATTGTTACCAGAACTTCGTGAAAAGTAGTGATATTCAAGCATTGTCATCCTGAGGCTTGTCATCCCAATTTGTGAAAAGTTAAATTTTCACTACTTCGTTCTTGGAATACAACTTCTTGGATATATGTATACTTTATGGAAAAATTCCATCTCAAATATTTTCATACTTTAAAATACGTCTATTATTATTTATTTTTATGTGTGATAATTAAACCGTTCATTAGGCACGGAAGTGAGAAGGCTAGCGAACTATTTCAGTCGTTCTTCATGGAAATAAAATTGTACGCTGCAAAAGCGTTAGAAAATATTATTCGCATGATTATGTATCTTATTATTTACACACCACGCCATCGTAAATTACAAACTGCATTCAGCAATGAACAATACATCAATGAACAAAATTCCAGAATGGAACGTAAAATTTATGAAAAGTATAAATATCAACAATGTTTTCATAGTGGGGTTTCAATCGTCCAGTGTTATAATCTCGACACTATCGTTGGTGGACTTTTCCCCTTTCTTGTTAGAAACACTACCCGACTTTCCTCTGGGTAAATCGTACATATTTTTGCACTCTGACGATCTCAAAGATTCCGACACTTTTTGTGGAAGTACACTCACACCCGAAGACAAGTTTTTCGTGTATTCCATGGCGGATTTCATTTGTTGAGATTTTTGTTGAGGTATAATTTCTAAATGTGAATGTTGCTTTAATTGAGAAAGCATTGAGAATGCTTCTACTGAATTTCCTTGAGAATATGAACTTGGCAAGGAACTAGAGATATCCATCGATGCCGGTTTCGTTTTCGATGACTTCTTATAATGCGAGTACTTTGTACTTGGACCTTTCAAGCTAGGTTGAGAATTCACTGGGCTTACAGAGATTCCACTTAGTTCTGGTGGTATATAAGGTGATTGCGTCATCGTCGAATTTCCAGGTATCGCATTCAATATATTTGACAAATTTCCGGGCAATGCGGACATTGTTTTAGTTGGTTTTATTTTTCTAACTACATTTTGCATACTTGTCTGCGAATATGATCTTTGTGAATTCTTCTTTGACAACAATTTATGTTGTAATGAAGTCCCTGAATGAGAAGTTGGTACATTCATGGATAACGTTTGCTTCATGATTGACGAACTTATCGCTGCGTGTGCAGCTTGCGGAACCACCGATGGGTTTGTTGTAGTATTACTTTTTAAAGGAGAGTGCGACAAGGAAGGATTGTGCGCTGGTTGAGGCTCGGTCAAAGACTTTGACACTCGAATTTGAGGAGCGCTTATTTGTTTTGGGGGACTAGTTTTAACGTGTGTTTGAATAATTGATGGCTTCAACAGAGACACTTGCGTAGTTGGTGGTTGTAAGATAGGCTTCGATGGCTGTGATATCTGCAGAGATTTTGGAAGTTGAACTGGCAGAGACTCACTCTGTGGACTTTGTTTCGATGGCTTACTTTTAGACGATGCTGTATTTACTGGGGTTATTGATATACTAGGTCTGTCTTTAGTTATTGATGTAGTAGTGGTAGTCTTCGTCGTGGCTGCTTGTTGATACATAGGCGTAGAACGTGCAGTTGTTGCTGTAGAATTACTTAAATTTAGCAGCTGTTGCACTGTCAAATTGTTCAAATTGCCCAAATTGCTCATTGTGGGAGCAACATTCATACTAGAGCTAGAAGTGCTCATTGTTGGTACACTGTTAATATTAGGTGCTATAGCAATAGTGTTAGCTAATCCGCTGGTCAGATTTGACAAAGAAGAAAAATTGTTTTGGTATTGCCTCAAAATATCTTGATAATTACCCATTTGATTTAAGTAATTCATTGCTGTTAAAGGATCCATTATACTGTTTCCTAAACTGCTTGTTAATAAAGCGGATAATATATTTGGATCAACCAATGGATGCATAAAATAGGGATTCATCAAGGAACGATTTCCTGATGCACTCATGTAATTTGCAAAAGTAGCTTTCGCGTTGAATTGATTCATTGCGTTACTGCTTTGCTGTATGGCTTGTAGATATTTATTCACATTGGGTGGACGTCCTCTTGGTCGGCCAGTGGATGTTAGACTTCTGTACGTTTTCCGGCTTTGAGATGATTGCGGTGACGTGGAAGTAACTTGCGGTTGGGATGTGATCACCTGTACAAACAACAAAAATAAAATTTACATTTATATCGACATGTTCATATTTAATTTAAATTTAAAAAAACAGAATTGTAGATTTTACAGGAGTTGGAGACGTAGCTTGAGGCTGAGATGTCTGACTCTCGGTGGAGGGCTTGTCAAAACTGGAGAAGAACTTGCTTAATACTTTCCGATTGTAATTATAATCATTGCAATACTTTGTAGCAATTTCCAAAACGTTTCCTTCCAAATTCTATTAAAAAAACAAAGACAGATATTAGATGTTAAACAAAATAACTGCATAAAGGGTATATTCTACTTGAAACGTTAACTTACTTTATTACCGATATATGTTTTATATGTATCGACTAGCAAGGAAGCAAGCGTTTGTATAGTTTGTTCTTTAGTCTGAAAGCTTTTCAAAGCTCTTTGATAAACCCAATACGTGTCAAGAAGTACTTGAGTTCTTTCATCTGCATTTGCGCTGGATGCAACATCAGAAGTACTTGTTCCCATTAATTGCACTTTAGTTCTAAGAGATTGTAAACAAAGAGTCAATGCTTGGCGAAACAACTGCTCCCTTTCTGAATCCCGTAAATATTTCCTAGAAAAGTAACATAATTTTATGGATTTAAGAATTTAAGTTATTTTGCCCACAGCAAAATGCAAACAAGCTAAAGCATGATTAAGTAAATTTGATACTTGAGAAGTGCATCAAAAGTAAAGTATATCTTTATTTTATTTAAAGTGTACTTGTCTGAGTCTGGAATTTTTCCAAGTTGCACACTCAATTGCATCAACATTCGGCCATCGTTTGTTTCTTTAAGTACTTGCATTAATAGTGTTACGCAACGGGACATGTGAAATGCGAAACTTCCTGGTCTATCAACTTCTCTATTTGGTATATGCCATACGCCCTAAAAAGATAAGTAACAATTATCTCATATAGATTAAGATAAAAATAGTTGAACAAGTCAGACGAGATAACAGTTAAGTATAAAAGCGACTTAATTCAGTGCAGTAATTAATGCAGAAATTAATTAATTAATTATGTCTTTTTATATTTTAACTGGCTTCTATAGTTACTGTTTCACTTCATACAAGTAACATTTTTCTTTGCTTAGAAAAACAAAAAAAGGATGAAGAAACGCGTGTTCTGTTGCAATCTTTTTGCTGCAATCTCATTTTGTTTGATATTGTATGGTATCAGGTAAAAAATTAACAAGTTATTTAAAAACAAATTGATATAGAGAAGTCATAAAAGTCAGTTTGACCAGAAACACAAATTTACATTTCGTGATTGAAAAATATTAATTTGAGATATTCTGAAGAACATGAAAAACGAAATACGATCCAGGATTGTTATGTCAATTGGGAATTGTTTTCTTCTACTTCTTCTATAAATATATTATCCTTAATGATTTCAAAGTAATTTAGAGTTTTAATGAAAAATTATAAATCAATATTATATGGTAATTCATAAATGACTTTTACAGCTTAGTTGTAAGGTACGAAGTAGATGCAAATAATGCTAGGTATGGTTACATTAATGTCATCACTTAATGCTTTAATTTACGACTTCGCTATATTAGCTCTGTTAACTATATGTAAAGTTTATTATACACAAAGCAGTTATCTATTAAAATTGTTTTAAGGCCTGCTAATGCTTTGAAAAAAAAAATTATAATAGACACAGATGCTGGAGCAGATGACGCAGTAGCTATATTTCTAATTCTTAAGTCTGAAAACGATATTTTAGCAATTACTTGTTCTTATGGAAACACATATGTGAAAAATGCAGTCACTAATGTACTTAAAATTTTAACTGTTGCTAACAGAAGTGATGTAAGTACATTACAGCACTTATTTGAGCTAAACATTATATATTAGAATGTTTTCCAGATATCTGTCTATAAAGGAGCAGAGAAAGCATTAATAAATGAATATAATGAATACACGGAAGATAATTACTTTGGTTGCGATGGTCTAGGAGATTTCAATTTTACAGAAGAGATTATTGCTAAAGTAGATGAAACTAAACATGCAGCTGTAGCTCTTGTAGATTTAGTGAAACAACATCCACGTGAATAATTAATTGAATTATTTAATGCGATAAATTGAAGACTTTATAATTATTATGTTTATTGCGTTCTATAGATCAAATAACTTTATTAAGCATTGGCCCATCAACAAACGTTGCTACAGCAATTGCATTGGAACCTTCATTTTTGAAATATTTAAAGAATCACATTATACTAGGTTCTAGCGTTTCTGGAATTGGTAATATTTCACCTAATGTTGAATTCAATTTCTATCAAGATCCAGAAGCTAATTATATGATACTGCATAAGAATGCTACAAACGTTTTATTCCCATGGGAAACGGCAATCAATAGCCACATATCCCTGGTAATTATTTAAAAAATTTATTAAAAAAATATAATAGAAACGATAGTTATATGAAATGGCACAAAATAACAATAATTTTTAAACAGGATTGGCGTAAAAATATACTGGGGAAGATAAATTCTTCTATCGTGAATTTTTTAAACAAAGCAGAGCAAAAGAGTTTAACAAAGTCTGATTCATGGAGTGTCTCAGATGCAATGGCTGCTGCAGTGATGCTACAGCCACAACTTGTAACAAAATCGATAGTAACAAATGTAAGTCCTGTAATGGATGGATTTGCAAGAGGCTCGGTACTTGTGGACTATGCTAATTTAACCAACAGGTCAAAAAACACAGAAATTATACAATCAATTGATATGGTTGCTTTTCAACAATTAATATTGGAAAAATTATCTTGAACGAACATACATATTTGACATATAAATGTAAAAAAAAAGGTATGAATGAAACGTATAAGAAATACTTACATTGAAAAAATTAGTACTTTTCCTATCAGCAAATAGACCTTGAAAATTTTCACCCCTATAAAATTGACAATTATAGCTATCCAACAAAAGATTCCTGCATTTTATTATGTCCTTAGCAGTCTTATTGTTGAAGAAGAAATGCGATAATCTATAAAATGATTTATAATGTTCTGGAAATCTTAAAATACATTGTTCTAGACCAGCTAAACAGTATGCTATTAAAGTTGCAACTTCTTCCTCAGTCATGTTTTCTTCTTTTTGCACGAAATCCAAGTCTTCTTTTTTTTTTTCGCTTTCACTTTCACCAGAATCGCTATCAGTGTCACTTGAACTATCACTATCAGAACTATCATCACTGCTGCTTGACTCATCGCTACTACTGGAGCTAGAATTATTCGTTTCGGTCGTTGTCGTGGTTGTTTGCGTGGTTGTTGTACTTTCTTGTGAACCTCTCCTACTTAGAGTTACCTCTTCCTTTGAGGAACTTGCAAGTTTCTTTTTATCCGGATGTTTATCTTTCATTTCTTTATTACTCAATTGTAAATCTTCGTTTTGCAGCCACTTTCCTTCAAATTTTCTTGTATCTTCATCTTCAGGTGAAGATTGTCGCGTTTCCTGGCTAATTTCCATCGCTTGTTTCATCAAAGCATCCATTAAATCTTGAACGTCTTCTGCTTTCTCTTCATTTTCGAACGCACTGCCAATTTTTAAAGATGTTAACGAATCTTTTTTATTGTCTTCTGACTTTTCATGTACTTTCGTTTTTTCAATAGTTTTTTTTATTTTTTTCCTTTGTGACTTTGACTCATTGCTTTCATCGCTCGATAATATCATAATATCATCATTCTTCTCTTTTTGCGAAACCATGTCACAAACTTTCGTAATTACATCATCTATTAAAGCTACAACATCTTGCATTAATTGTAAATGAGATATATTACCTAATTTTATTTTCTTCACATTATCTTGTGGTAATTCTATGAGAGATCTTTTGCGTGTTTCGGTCTTTCCTTGTTCCGTACGTTGGTTCGTTTCAAATCCTTTATTTGTTCTGTCTACGATTTCAATTTCTTCAATGCTGTTTGAACGCCGACCAATCATAACAACATTTCTGTCTACTTCGGTTGTAAATTCCACTTCACCTCCATTTTTATTATTTGTAGAATGATTTTCCTCCTTAATCTTTTCGTTTAATTTCGAAGTATACTTTACAAAAGATCCCTTGGCACATTTTTCAAGGTGAAATTGAAGCAACTGTCCTAAAGATTTCTTCAAAGGTTTCCCTTCATGCTGTTCAAGATATTTTAATATACTTGCATGAATTCGATAATGTACTTCTAATGCCTCAACTGAAAGAGGTTGTGGACATTTGTGACTTATTCTACGTGGATATTGTGCATTATTGTTATACAGTAATTCACTAGCCTGTAATTAAATATACACAAATTAGAATATATACTGCTTGTGTCCAACTGCATACAGATTTGAATAACGCATACCTTCGAATAATGTTCTAAATATACAGGAGGATCTTGATTTTTCTTCTCGGCTACTTTGCCGAGCATATATTGATATAGCCATCTTTCGTCATGCGGTATTGTTCCATCTTTGGTGCCAATAAATAAACGAGCACATGATTGAAAACACTGATACGCGATTTCTAACATTTCTTCTTTTCTAGTTTCTAAGACTTCAAATCGTTCCATGCTTAACGTATCTGTCTCTTGTTTCAGCAATCGTGAACAAAATGAATGTACAACATAGGCGAAGGTTCCGTATTCAGTCCAAATAATATGATTACAGGAATCCAACTCCACAGCGTGTCGATAACTGGATTGAGTTAATTTCGCTTTCGCTAAAAGCCTGTCTTCGTTACTAAATATAAAATAAATAACCAACATTATTAACTTGTTTTATATAATATTAATAAATAATTTGTTAGTACTTACATTGGTTTATACTTATTTAACCATGTATCTATTACAGTGCCTGACGACATTGCTAATCCAGTCCAAGAACTCAATCTTGTTGGATGGAAACATAAATCCAATAAATAATATCGAATAGCTGTATTCCATTTACAATTTTTGAAATAAAAATCTGCCAACAAATAATAAATAGTGGACATGGAATGCGGCAGAAGCTTCTTGACGGTCGGCATTGTCTGTCGTTCACCCATTATATAAGCCATCATTTCATCGATCACTTGATTTGGATCACTTTCTGGAGGGATCAACTTTATTATACGTTTAAACAGATCTTCTGTGTCCGCACTAATTGTTAAAGATTTAGGTGAATGAAATTCTGGTATTTGCTTGGGTTTATAGAAATTAAACAATAATTGTGCTCCCTCCCAAGTCACTTTCATTTGAGGTACTCCGTGTTCTTCTATATGCTTCGGCCGACATTTGTTTACTTTATTATAATGACCATATAGACAATAAAATATTTGCTCCAAATACTTCGTAACTTTACTCTTTATGCTGGAAAACTGAGGTGTTTCCAACTTTGGGATAACTAAATTTAAAGTAAAAAACAAGAGCTTTGCTTCGTTGTAGCAACACCATGAGTGTCTTCCCATAAAATCATGGGCAATAAATAAAATCATGATTGATGCTGGAACACCTTCGTCCTCATCGTCTGATTCAGAATAATTAGAACTATGCTTATTTTTGTACGACGATTCAGCCTTTGCTCTCTCTTTATCCTCTTTATATTGTAAAACGTAATGCAGTATGATCCAAGGTAAGACAGTCTCAAGTGGCATCTCTACCGTAGTTTCCGATACATCTAGTTGATTGCAAACAATATGAACCAAATTTTGTACTAATCTTGAAAGACGTGTTTCCGGTAAATATTTTACGACAAAAGTGCTCACTTCAATCGTACAGGCTTCTAGTTTTTCAAGTGCCATTAAAATAGAGCTCGTCCATTTCTTTTGTTCTATATCATCAGTAGCGTTTAAATAATTTTGCCATGCTTCGTTAAGGCAAGCTTCTGCCCATACATAACATTCTTCGTATTGTTGTAGTTGCCATAAACTATCTAATAACATGGATAATTGTTGTACTCTATCAACGATATTATCATTTACGGATAAAAATTTATTTCCTTGTTTTGCGAACTTAAACGTATCTTGTAATATGTAGGCTAACTCAGCGTATTTTTTCTCGTCATACAGATTTTGTATTTCTCCTAATTTTTGTCCTCTTTGAATAGATTTAAGTTTCTTCTCTACTATTTTAATACTGATTTTAGAATTATATTTACAGTTAGGCAGTTTCAAATAAACGACTTTGTTTTGTTTCTCAAATTCTTGCATGTGACTTAGTAACTAAAAAATAACTTTCGATAAGAGATAAATTAGAAAATATTTCTATGCTGGAATTAAAATAACTTACCAATTCTAAAGTCTCAATAACGATATCTGTGTCTCCTTGGCACAAAAAGATATTAGCTTTGAGCCACAAAACTCTTAATAATATGTAAATATTTTCTTCATTTAAAATATCCCTTCTAACGCTTGTAAAAATTATATGCCCTAATTCTTCAGATGGCAATCCTGTCCCAAGTTTATCTAATCTAAAATAGACAACAGAATTTCTTAATTTTTTTTTTAATTGAAACATAATAGAAGCATCGTAAATATAAAGCGTAATAAAGCATAATAGAATAATAGAATAAATCATACGTTGAAAAAGGTAGTATATCTGGTTTATTGCTTAACCATTTATCTGTATGAAGTTCACCAAATAATAAAGTCATTTCAGTATCTAATTTTAATATATCATCACTTGTATCTTCTTCAAATGGCGATGGATGTGGAATATGCTCCCTGTAAAATAGCAGAAATGTATTTTATTGTCTGAATCATATTTATAGAAAAATTCATATTTATTTATTGTACCTCATGAATGTATATGCTTGCAAATATATTTCTAATATTCCTTTAGACCATTCTTGGTTCCATTTTGTGCATAAAAATTCTGTATATTTTGCTATAATTATCATTAAATTACTTTTACCACTGTATTCATTAATAAACATATTTACATCAACTACCTCAGATTCTGTACCGAAATAATTTTGTTTTTGACTGTAGAAAAAAAAATTAATTATTGCAAACGTTTGTACATTTGTAATACCTACTTAAATACCTACTTTGTTTCAGGACTTGGTGATTTTGAACTTTCAGAACTTTTAACTGTTTCCATAGTATTGCTATTGTTTTCTTGATTAGCAAACAATTGATATAAGTCCATTGTATCCATAGAATCATCCATATTTTTAGAAGGATCATCTTTGGTTAATTTTACTGTATCTGGTCTGAAATATTACATACAAATTATATAATATTAATTATAAGTTACATAAGTATCAAAGTACTTTAAATGCATACAATAATGTACTAGGAAATATTCTTCTAAGAGTCTCTTCTAATTGAACATCATCTCTTTCAGCTTCTCTTCTATTTGAACTTCTTACTCTTGCTGAACGTCTCATACTATTACAACTCCAAGCCCATTGTTGCAGAAAGCACAGAGCACTTCTTCTCCTTTTCTTCACTTTTTGTACTTCTTCTTTTCCTTCACTCTTTTCAGTTAATTTTTCTTCAGCTTTACATTGTGTCTTGTCTTCTTTTTTTAAACTTTTATCATCATTGGATTTGTTACTCTCTTTATCACTAATATTATCATTTTGTGCTTCATTTACACCATCGTCTATTATTTTTTCCAATTGTAATTTATCTCCATTTTCATCTACTTCAAAGTTATTTGGCTCATCTGAATCATTTTTGGCCTGACTTTGTTCTTCAAACTGTGCATCTGTATCTGATATTCTCAAAGGGTCTTCATCTTCTATTATTTGTACATCACTGAAACATGACTTTTTATCATCTTCTATTTCGATTTCCATTGCAGATTCACCACATGGATTGTCATCGGATGTTTCAAATGGAGAAGTCGCATCATCTATTTCCATTGACTTTCCAATTTCATTTTCATTCTTTGTTATGACACTTTGCAATATTTCTTGATCGGTATTAACATCATTATTTCCCTCAGTATCTCCCTCAATATGTGTTTTAAGTGTTTCCTCAGAATGATGAACAATTAAATTAATTCTACTAACAAAACTTAAATTATTTTCTGTGATATATCTGTGCATATCCAATAAACATTCTCCTAAATCTAACCAAGTGTAATTTTTTATGGTCCTTCTCAGCGTTAGATCTGACAATGGTTTTGGACAGAACTCTACCCTGCACGTTTCTGCCCATTTTTTAGCAATATCCTTTGCTTCTACTATTAATTTATCTCCTACTAAATGATCATACTGAGTACATAAGGGAGGATCTAGCTGCCAGTTGTTATTGTACAATTTATAGCATTCTTCAAGGCATGGAATGTCCTTAAATATCTTTTCACGAAAAGCTAAACCTTTTACATAATTGGGATCACGCTCTAACGCCATAGAAATGTACAAAAGACAATTCATATAGTCAGGAACTGCGTATAAAGCAGTTATCATATTATCTAAACATGGCCAGTGATTTGCATTACATTTTAAACCTTGCTTAAATGATGAGCAGGCTAATTCTAAATTTGAGGTTTTCATAGCTAAAGTGCCTATTCTGTACCACAGTGTTACATCTGTATTATCTAAATTAGCTGCTTCCCAGTAATTTTCTATGGCCTCATCATAGTTTTCCAGTGTGGCCTGTATAGCGCCAATATTTTTGAAACAAGAATATTTCAATGACAACATTGGTCTAGATCTACCATCTGGTATCTCAGGTTTTTCAACCGCATCCAACAGTTCAGTTTCTAAAAGATCTTTAAAAATACTTAGTGCATCTTCTTGTTTATTTTCTTTTAACAACACTAAAGCCTTGTTATATTCTGTAAGAGCTATTTGTTCCTGAAACAAATGTAATTTTTCTCATTTCAATGAAGCATATGTCATCAATAATGAACAGTCAGTTTGATTCCTTTTGAAAAGTAAAGATTCAAGAAATGCAAATCCAAAAGTTTACACAAATTCCACGTGGCCATTTAAAATAAACAATGCGTTTTTCGATTATTGAATGATCCGTACAACGAAATGATTTTGAATAAAAAAAATAATCAATTATGATTGATCAGAATAGATCACTGCAGACAAGTATTAGCGGAAATAGGGTCTGTGATTTCAAAATAGGCGACTTTACACAAAATTCGTACATTTGTGCATCAAGGAAATTTTAATAACTGACAAGTTTGTAGGTTAGATATTCGGAGGAAATAAAAAATTAACACCGCTGACACATACTTGAGCTTCTTTCGTGATACTCGGCACGTCTTCCTCTTCACTCTCTTCGCTGGACTCCTCGTTCAATGCCGATATTTTTATCATTTTCAGAACTTTCCCTAAAAATTGGGACTTGCGTATAAAATATCAACAAATCAACCGGTTTTTTTCAATCCCGCCATGCTAGCGCACAATGTATAGTTGTATATTGTGTGTGTATGACATACATATATTTATATGTACATACATAGGGTGTCGTACAAAAACACATATTTCCTACATTTATAAAAAATGCAATCCAGCGTAAACACTTGTGTGTTGTCACACGTTTACATAAAATTATTCATTATACATCGTGTACATACATTATCTTGAGAGAACCTTGAGATAATTTGATGCACGCATTGTGGTATCTATCTTCATTTTATACTAATAATGTAGTCGTTTCATTTCACTGATTTATTTTGCGATTGCATTAGTTTCTTCTTTTATTTTTATACTCATTCACACAATCATTTTCCTTGACCTTCCATTTTTTGTTTTCCTTAATTAACTATTGTTAGAATTAGAATTCAATTGTTCGTTCTTTCCTTACGATTCGAAAGTGTAAATAAAATGTATACGGTTTCTTTGCGCGAAACGAGGGATTGATTTCGAAAGAACTAAAGTCAGCAACTTTTACAAAGTGGATTGAACGATAGAATCGTAAGTTCATTGAACTGTTGTAGTTAACATGTGATAATGTTTATGAT